CAGGATTATGTCCTTGCCTTCAGGGCAGTAAGATCCCCCAGGCCTCAGGCAGGTCAGAAATGCTGTCTGGGAGCCGAGAATTGGAGTAAGAAACCTTAAAATCTACCTGGTACTCTATTCTACTATGGCTGTGCTGGCCCTCAAACCACAAGACGGAGTTCTTCCTGCTCTTTCCTCTCCTTTCCACAGGCAGAGAAGCCTCTTTCAGTGGCCACCACCACTGGACCACAGTGAGTTCTGCCAGGACACCATTAATGTTCATGTAAAGCGCAAAGCTCTTCAGTCAGCTTTTGGTGAATGCTACGAGGCCTGGGACCCACTTTCAGGGCAATGGGTTCCCCTCTGGCCCAGGGCAGGTTCAGAAATGCTATCTAAGAGCCTGCTTGTTGCTCTACCCCTGCTTTGGCTGAGCTGGTACCTAAGGTGCAAGACAGAGTCCTCTTTACTTTCCCCTCTCGTTTTCTCAAATAGAAGGAGCCTTTCACTGTAGACAATGCAGGTAGGAATGGGCTAGGAACTGGCATAGCTCTGAGTCTCACCTGAGGCCCAAGGCAAGTACAGTCTGGCTACTACTGCTGATTATTTAGGGCCCAATGACTCTTTAGTCATCAGGTGATGAATCCTGCCAGAACTGGGTCTTTTCCTTCAAGGCAGGTTCCTTTATGGCCCATGGTATGTCTAGAAATGTCTGGAAGCTAGAGCTTAGAATGGGGGCCTCATGTCTCTGCCTGGTGCCCTGTCCTGTTACGACTGAGCTGCTTTCCAAGATGCAAGACTTAATTCTCTTTACATTTCTCTCTCCTCTCCTCAAGCAGAAGGAAGGTGTCGCTTTATTTGCTGCAAGCTGTGCTGCCTGGGGTTATTGAGGTGATGACACAAGCCCTCCCTTAGCCACCCCCACTGATGTCCTGCTAGGTCACATGCTGCTCTAGTCCACTGGCTCTAAGCCCAGTCCAGCACTAGGATTTGCCTAGGAATAACTGCAGTCTTTGTATCCTAGACTGCCTTTCAGGTTTATCTAGAACCGCTCCCCTCACAGAGCACTTTAGCCCACTGTGGCAAGGCCTGCTGAGAAACTCAAGTTCCAACTGCTGAGATGGGCAATTCCCCTTTGGCTAGGGCTAATCCAAATGCTCCCTCCATGGGTAGGCAGTGGCTGAGCCCAGCACAGGTTGACTCTCTGCTGTCACAGGGCAGCACTGAGTTCAATGCCAGGTCACCCACTTGTTGTGCTTTCCCTCTCCCACAAGCACAGATTCTCCACAGTACCTAACTGCTGCTGGAAGGTAGGGGAGGAGTGGTGTTGGCGATTCAAGACTGTCTTTCCTACCCTCTTCAGTGCCTCTTTCAGCGAGAGGAAGTTAAAACCAAGAAGTATGATTGATTACCTGATTGTTAGTTCTGATGATGGTGCTATTTTATGTGTAGATAGTTGTTAAAATTTGGTGTTTCTGTACAGGGGAATGATCGGTGGAGGCTTCTATTCAGGCTTCTATTCATCTTGCTCCACCTCAGAACTATTGTATTTTCTTATTTGAGAATGAGGATTCATGTTTGCATAAAGAAAAAGTTTATGTGTATAATTTATTTTGATTTAAAAAAGTAACTTCCATGTTGTATTTCCAGGTTAAAAAGTGAATCTCTGGAGTACTACAACCATGGAAAACTCAGCAATCTGTATGTTTGTTAAATGCTAGATATGTCACAAGCTCTCTGTATGATGCTGAGAGTACTGTGGTGAACGTATGAGGCAAGGCCCAGCACCATGACTTACCTATGAGATATAAGTCAGACCATGACCTAATCCAATGTGGGGGCTCCACTTTTCAACTGTGACCTCCATTAGTCTTCTTGCCACATGCTGCTGGAGCCAGAACAGAGACCCTGAAGCATTTAAACAGAAAACAGACAATGTTCAGAGGAACAGGGGGAGGGAGGGCAGGCATTTGCCAGTCTACGTTAAGGAAAGCAAATACAATCAATAGACTTTAACATTAAAATAAACTTGGAGCAATTGCACACACAGTGACAGAATTGCCTGCTTTGATAAAAGCAGTTGATGCATCCCAGCTGTATAAAAAGAATGTTGAATTAGACCGACTGGAGAGGATCAGCAGAGCCAGAACAGTAGGAAACCATCTGAAGACAGGCTTCCTATTCACAGTGATTAAATTCATCAATACCTGATAAGGGGAGACTGGACATTCATGTAGGAACTCACTGTACACAAACTGCAGTTTGCTGTATATAATTATTCTCAAGTAAATTATAGAGTAATCTATATATGTTCTCATGTCATAGTACAAACTGGATCATTTTGTGTCCCTTTTACTTATCATTAAACGCCATGTATTAAAGACCTTCCAGAATGAGATCTTTGCAGGCAGGGCTACAGTTTATCATGCTAACTGCTATATCCCCAGGACCCAGTACACATCCTGTGCATAGACCATTGTCTGTTTTCTGGCTGCCCAGGCCTGTAGAGCACCCTTTTCTGTTTAGGAAATGTCTCACCTTATAATACTACCTCTCTAAAGTAAAACCAGAAAACACATTTACCCAGCTTTCCTTGCAGCCAGAGGCATGCAAACTAGGCTTCACCAACCAGATGCACCCACAAGAAACTTCCATTCAGAAGTGAACAACACAATACGAAGAAGCAGGTGTTACCTCAAATCCATTTTTTTTTTTCTGGAAAGAGTAACAACTGAAGCATCAGGCTTTCTCCTCTGGGAAGCTTTCCCTGAACATTCCCCTTCATCTCCAGGTAGACTGAGCTAGATATCCCCCCTTTAGTTCTACTTTTTCATTGCACTTTTCCATTCGTATTATAAATATTAGCATCTTTTATTACCTTCTAATCGTCTGTAATAGTAAGGTAATACTAGCTACTCTAACAACGAACCAAAAATATACGGTGAATCAAACACAATAGAAGTACCTTAAATAACTAAAAGTAGATCTACCATTTGATCTAGCAATCCCACTCTTGGATATCTACCCAAAGGAAAATAAGTCAATATATGAAAAAGATACTGGCACATGTATGTTTATAGCAGTATAATTTGCAATTGTGAAAATATGGGACCAGCCCAAATGCCTATCAATCAATGAGTGTATAAAAAAACGTGGTATATATACACCATGGAATACTAGTCGGCCATAAAAAGGAACAAAATAATGGCTTTCATGGCAACCTGGATGGTATTGGAGACCATTATTCTAAGTGAAGTAACTCAGGAATAAAAAAAAAAAATTATACGTTCTCACTCATAAGTGGAAGCTAAGCTATGGGGATACAAAGGCATAAGAGTGACACAGTGGACTTTGGGGACTCAGGGGAAAGGGCGGGTGGGGGGTGAGGGATAAAAGACTACACATTGAGCACAGCGTACACTGCTTAGGTGATGAGCACACCAAAAATCTTAGAAATCACCACTAAAGCTGGGTGCGGTGGTTCACGCCTGTAATCCCAGCACTTTGGGAGGCCAAGGTGTGCAGATCACAAGGTTAAGAGATCAAGACCATCCTGACCAACTTGGTGAAACCCCATCTCTACTAAGAAAAAATTTAAAAATTAGCTGGGAGTGGGGGCATACGCCTGTAGTTCCAGCTACTCGGGGGTGCTGAGGCAGGAGAATTGCTGGAACCGGGGAGGCAGAGGTTGCAGTTAGACGAGATCATGCCACTGCACTCCAGCCTGGCAATAGAGTGAGACTCCAACTAAAAAAAAAAAGAAAAGAAATCACCACTAAAGAGCTTATTCATGTAACTGAACACCACCTGTTCCCCAAAAACGAATGATATAAAAAACATGTTTAAAAAAAGTTTCTTTTCTAATCATATTAGGTCAAAACAGGGTACTTAGGATGAGCAGGCAGCTCTTCTGCAAGTGATGATTCTGGGATCCAGGCATCTTCCATCTACCTTGTGGCTCCACCATCTGTACCACATAGCTAAAGGGTACCATTCCTATCTGAATCAGGCTGGAAGGCAAAGGGCATGGAGAATTACACACAGTGGGGCTTTATAAGCAAGGCCCGGCTTATAAGCAAGGGGCCTTATAAGCAAGGCCCAGCAGTGATGCTGATCATTTCTGTTCATATTCTATTGCCCAGAACTCAGCTTCATTGCAATGCCTAGTGGAAAATACAATCTAGCTTCCTTCAGGTAAGAATACATCAACATTAGAAGTCATGATACTGTTGGGCACAGTGGCTCACGCCTGTAATCTCAGCATTTTGGGAGGCCAAGGCAGGAGGATTGCTTGATTCCAGGAGTTTGAGACCAGCCTGGGCAACATACTGTAGAAATGAGGTCTACAAAATAAACAATTTTTTTAATGAGGCAGGAGGATTACTTGAGTCCAGGAGGTTGAGGCTGCAATGAGCTGTGATCATGACACTGCACTCCCACCTGGATGACAGAGCAACACCCTGTGTGAAAGAAAGAAAGAAAAAAAGAGAAAGAAGGAAAGAAAGAAAGAAGAAAGAAAGAAAGGAAAGAAAATGAGAGGAAGAGAGAAAGGAAGGAAGGAAGGAGGGAAGGAAGGAAGGAAATGAAGGGAAGAAAGAAAAAGTCATGATAAAGTGCCATATCTTAACTTTCTGTCATTTCTCTTGCTTCCTTCTTCCTTTTGAGAAGGAAGAATGACCAGTGCTAAGGCTAATATACCAGCCCTGTGCAAATCACAGATGTGACTCTGATCTGGATTCCCTTTACTTGGCTCTCCACTGCTTTTATGCTAAGCATTTCTGCTTAGGGGGCACATATTCATTGGATAGTTATTTCTGAATGCTTTGCCTGAAATTGCTTTTATCTCCAGGCTCCCCATGTGTCGGTTTGAAAGGGAAAGTGCTTAGCATGCAGCCTGGGTGCCACATGTGTTCTGAGATGCTGGCACATGGAAGGCCTAGGAGGTTCCAAATCACTGCCTATTGGCCACCCACAGGCTAATGAAGGAAATGTCTTTTCATTTTCTCTGCTTCTCCCGGACTTAGGTGCCTTATCAGCAGCCAGGGAGAGCTGGGAATACGATTCTGGTGCCAGGGACCTCCAGAGCCCGGATGTGCAGAGCCAGTCAGCCCTCCAGAAGCTGCTCGAGTATGGCGGAAGCTCTTTGCATCAGCAGGCTGCTCTCCACAAACTGCTCACGCACTCCCTGCATGTTGGCAACTCTGTAGGAGGAAGCTACCTAGAGCTGGCCAACACGGTGAGTACTTTTTGGTTCATGGAACAAATCTTTTGGCATGTCTGTATTCCAATACAAATATTTTAATTTTGAGCTTCAGGGGACATATCGGGTATTGTCTTCTTTATTGAGGTAAATACTGTACCATTTCCAGCATTGTCAGTAATGTTTAGTGCTCCAAAGTTGCCAGCACTTAGGAACTTCACTCTCATCAAGACCAGAGTGGACTCCTAAAAGATGTTTTAGTTAAGGCTGTAACTTGCACAGGTTTAATTACTAGAAGAGGCACAACAGCTCTTCCATACTAGAATACTTCTATGGTTGTAGGCATTACAAATTCATAGGATCTACTTGTTTCTGTTCCCTAATTTGGACTTTACTCATTTGAAAAACAAAAAGGAAAACATTGCATTGAAGGTTTCTTGTTTCTGGTTATACTTTAAGAGTATTTTCTGTTGAAAACTGTGGGACAACTTAGAATGTCATTATTTGTAGCTTACCTTCCTTTTTAACTGCAAGATGAGTCACTACAATAGCAACCTTTGGGCAAAAAGCTATTGTTTTCTCTTCTAAGTCAGGGCTGCTAAATGAAGCGTGTAGCCTATGGCCTGGCCATTTTGGGTGACATGCAGACAGTACAAATTGAGATTGCTATCCATCCAGCCACTGTGGGAAAGGTCCAAAAGCCTACCTGGCTTTTTGAAACTAAAGTTCGAATGGTAGACTAAGTGTCTCAATAACCTTGACTCATGCGGCTTTACTGTCTGCTTTGATGTAGACCAATGGTTTTCAAACTCTGTGTTTGAGGCACACTTTCTAATTCTGACACTTTTGGTAGGATGTTGGAAGGAACTAGCAATTGTAAATGGCAACAGAAATTAAAATATAATTATCAGAAAAATCCCAATTAAATGACATTCTACAAAATACAAAACCAAAACTCCTCAAAACTGTTAAGGTTATCAAAAGCAAGGGAAGTCTGAGAAAGAGAAACTGTCCACCTAAGAGAAGCCTAAGAAAAATACGACAACTAAATGTAATGCATACCCTCAACAGGATCCTGGATCAGAAAAAAAGAGGACATTCGATTAAAACACACATGCATGTGTGTGCATGCTCGCACGCGCGCGCACACACACACACACACACACACAACACACTAGGGAAGCCTAAATAAAGTATGGACTTTCATTAATAAGTTAATAATAGTGTATCAACATCAGTTCATTAATTGTGACTAGTATACTATAATAATGTAAAATGTTAAAAATAGAGAAAACTATTTGTTGGGTATATGAGAACTCTCTCTTCTATCTTTGCAAATTTTGTCTAAAACTTTTTTTTTTTTGAGACAGAGTTTCGCTCTCGTTGCCCAGGCTGGAGGGCAGTGGTGCAATCTCGGCTCACTGCAACCTACACCTCCCAGGTTCAAGCAATTCTCTTGCCTCAGACTCCCAAGTAGCTAAGATTGCAGGCACCCATCACCACGCCTGGCTAATTTTTGTATTTTTTTTTTTCTTTAGTAGAGACAAGGTTTCACGATGTTGGCCAGGCTGGTCTCAAACTCCTGACCTCAAGGGATCCACCTGCCTTGGCCTAAAACTATTATAAAACAAAAAATGTATTTAAAACATATAAACACACACAATCATTGCTGTGTATTGTGTAATGAGATTTTATGTCTCATAAAATCTGTAAAAACATTCATAGTTACTGCACTGTTTGTTACGTGGCCACACCTCAAGGACATTCTTGCACAGTTTAAGTAGAACTCTAATGATCCTAAACTTGCCCTCCTATGTGCTCAGGAGGTTAGGCAATTATCAGTAAATATGTCATCTTTCCCTGGCATAGGCCTGGACTTAGGCTATGCCTGCTTCAAATAATTTGCCACAAGTTGAACCCTCCTCTGTACTACATCAGCTCAGCCTTTTCTCAAGACATACATTGCCATAACAGGATGGGTTATAGCAGAAATCAGTGTTACACAGAGATCAAAATTTGATGGTACCTTCTCTGGAGGGTTCCGGGTTCATGGCCCACCAGTTTTCTGCAGCAAACCTACTATTGAAAACTGTGGGAGTTGGCTGTTTTCTACCTCTGTATGACTCCCTGGTTCTCAGCTTCTCCAGTAAACTCCTGGATTAATTTCTATTCTTCTGTCTCTCCTGATCAGAGGCCAGCTCAGCTCTTAGGGTTTCCACAGCCAGGTTCTCTGAGTTGGCTGTTCAGGGGAGTCAAGGCACAGAGAGCTCTCACGTACCCCACAGTCATACATAACCTCTTTTACATTACTGGTTAAGCTCTGCACACTCACTTAAGGTGATCCCTTGGCAAGAACTGAACCATAAATGCAAATGCAGGCACTGAAGTCCTATGACAGTGATTACACTATATATTTCCTCACCAAATGGAAAAGTAAAATTTTTTAAATATCATTTGAATTCACAGACCCATTATTAATGCCCACGGACCCTGTGGTAGAGACATTTTGGGGCCCAGTTCTTCATCAATCCCTGTGTCTTCACTGTTCGTCATGCAACTTGAGAGTCCTTCCATCAGACATGTGAGAGTGATATATGATGGTTGTTTTAACCATTGTGTTTGCGGTGGTTTGTTTCATAGCCGTAGTGACTCAGGGTCTCCTCGGAAGGGTCTATAGAGTCCGAGTTGAGAAATACCCTTGCAAGTTGGCCAAGAAAGCAAATAGTCTCTCTAAACTGTACATTTGGGCAATCCCTTTATTTATATAATTAAATTAAAAATAATTTATGTCCCTTCTAAGGAAAAATCTTGAACTAATAAAATTAAGTTTCATATTTTTTTCTTTTAAATAACTACTAAGAGCAAAAGGCATTTTATTAGTGTCTAGTTAGGAGACAGAAGGCACACAGTAATTCACACAGGGAAAGTTTAATATAAATGATTATTAACTAGTAGCAGAGGATTGCCTACTAAGGGTAAAGAAAACCATAGTGAACACAGGAATAGAATGTACAAAGAATAGCCACTACCCCTAAGTCTGTTCCCAAGGAAGGAGTACCAGGGAAGGAACAAATTTGGAAGAGGGCCCTCCCCTCACCCAGGGCTGATTCAGACTCCTTTGAAAGAAAGTCTGTGGCCCACTGAATTGCAGAGAATTTACCTGAGATGTTGCAGGCCAGAGCCGGCAGCAGGAAACCAAACTTCTGAACCATTGGTCCAACCTCCTGGGATGCCACCCATTGGGGCATTTGCAAGACTCATCAAACATCACTGAGGTGTCCACTGAGGTGCCAGAGGGATTCACTGGGAAGCTGCCTGCTAGAGTGGTGGGACACCCACTGAGAAGTCCCCCAAATGGTGCCACTGAAACTTAATTGGGTGAGTCACTAGATGTCGTATGTGCTGACCCCTACCGGCCACAAGAGCTAGCAAGGGAGAGCACAGCAGAGTCAAGCCACAACAGTCAAGCTGAGTTCCCCTCTTCCTCCAGGGTCCCTCCAGCACCTTCTATTGACAAAGGATAAATGTTTACAGAGTCCAGCTCCAAGGCCACAAAACAGGACAAAGAAAGGTGGATTTGGAGATGAGTAGCAACAAATGATAACTAGCACAGGCATTTTTAGCACTGAGGATTTTCTGGGAGATTCCTACCTAAGCTTTTTACCTTTCTAAGCATCGCTTCCTTTTCTTCTACCACCAATGACCAGTCTTCCTTCTACCTAAGATAGTGGACACCACAAGGCTTAACATACTGTTCACAAAGCAAAGGCAATAAGACAACATTGTACACAGATACGTATAGCAGCCATGGTTTTATCCAAGAAGCAAAATGGCCACACATTATACAAAATAAGAGATTTATCATCACAATACAATTGTCCATTATCTTACACAAGTGTGAGAGCTGGTGATGCAATCTATGAAGGCTATTGGTTCTGTATCCAGTGTTGCACCTGAAGTTACCAAAGGTTTGTCAGATCAGCTGTTAAGAGGGAAAGCTGGATGTGTAGGAGAGGAGAGACAAACTGGAACTCAGGAGGACCAATGGGACCATTGAGGACAAACTGGAACCCTCTTCTAGTGTCTTACCATGTCCCACCTTGATGCTATGGGTGACCTGCAGGAGAAACTGGCACTTTTTATTTCCTACAGTGTGTCTCCTGCATACACGCTTGGCCCAGGACTCAAAGAAGCTGAAGGAGGAGATTTGGTGAGTTAGAATTACTGCAAGCCTGGTACACCAAGTAGTTAAGCAGCAGATTAGTAATAATGTGTGCAAGTGGACAAAGTGCATAGTATCTGCCATGGTTTGATTATTTTTCCCTCCAATATTCATGTGGAAATTTAGTTGCCATTGTAACAATATTAAGAGGTGGGACATTTAAAAGGTGATTAGGCCATGAGGGCTCCACCCTTATGGGTGGGATTGGTGCCATTTTAAAAGGACAAGTTCCTCTCTCTCTCACTTTCCCACTCTCTCTCTATCTGTTTTTCTCTTACCCTCTCTTTGTCCTTCTACTCTTTCACCGTGTGATAACACAGTAAGAAGTCACCTGCCAGATGCCGGTGCCTTGATATTGGACTTCCCAGCCTCCAGAACTGTGGAGGCAATAAATTTCCATTCATTATAAATTTCCTGGTTTCAGATATTCTGTGATAGCAGCACAAAACAGACTAAGACAGTACCCTCCACCAAGTTTCAGAGCATAAAAAGACTTCTTTACTTCTTCCTTTTGGATTTCACACAGAAGGTCTCCCATGGCCATAAAGAACCATACAGGAAGGAGAACTCTGGTGAGTATGGTTCCAGCTTAGCTGAATTTAGTACTTACTAAGTCACCACAAAGCAGCAGCAAAACTCAGTGTAATCTAAGCCCTATTCATAAAACTATGGGTAAAGCAATATGAGGTATCAAGAGTTTGGTAGAGGGGATGCAGTTGGAAAGATATGCTGCCTGTTTTCTGATAGTTTTTTCTGGAAAGATTTGTATTACCATGGAAGAATGCAAGTATAAATTATAATGTTCTGAGTAGTA